TAATTATGTTACACCTGTAAAGTAATTGTGTTACACCTGTAAAGTTATTATGTTACACCTATAAAGTAATTGTGTTACACCTGTAAACTAATTGTGTTACACCTGGAAAGTAATTATGTTACACCTGTAAAGTAATTGTGTTACACCTGTAAATTAATTATGTTACACCAGTAAAGTAATTATGTTACACCTGTAAAGTAAATATGTTACACCTGTAAAGTAATTATGTTAAATGTGTAAAGAAATTATGTTACATCTATAAAGTAATTATGTTAAACCTATAAAGTAATTATGTTATACCTGTAAAGTAATTGTGTTACACCTGTAAAGTAATTATGTTACACCTATAAAGTAATTATGTTGCATGTGTAAAGTAATTATGTTACACCTGTAAAGGAATTAGGTTACACCTGTAAAGTAATTATGTTACACCTATAAAGTAATTATGTTGCATGTGTAAAGTAATTATGTTACACCTGTAAAGTAAATATGTTACACCTGTAAAGTAATTATGTTAAATGTGTAAAGAAATTATGTTACATCTATAAAGTAATTATGTTACCCCTATAAAGTAATTATGTTATACCTGTAAAGTAATTGTGTTACACCTGTAAACTAATTGTGTTACACCTGGAAAGTAATTATGTTACACCTGTAAAGTAAATATGTTACACCTGTAAAGTAATTATGTTACACATATAAAGTAATTATGTTACATGTGTAAAGTAATTATGTTACATGTGTAAAGTAATTATATTACACCTATAAAGTAATTATGTTACACCTGTAAAGTAATTATTTTACACCTATAAAGTAATTATGTTACATCTATAAAGTACTTATATTACATCTATTAAGTAATTATGTTACATCTATAAAGTAATTATGTTACATCTATAAAGTACTTATATTACATCTATTAAGTAATTATGTTACATCTATAAAGTAATTATGTTACACCTGTAAAGTAATTATGTTACACCTGTAAAGTAATTATGTTACACATATAAAGTAATTATGTTACACCTGTAAACTAATTGTGTTACAGCTGTAAACTAATTGTGTTACACCTGTAAAGTAATTATATTATTACACCTGTACTGTTATTATTTTACACCAGTACACCTGTCACGTTACACCGGCTGACCAGGTGGGATCTGTCTCCACTGACTGGGACAGGCTCGACCCATCCAGTGACAGGGCTATCCATTACGGCAGTATGATATCCGCGGGTCATGCGAGGGCTTGTTCGCCTGTCAGTGATCACCCTCTGTAACACCTCAGCTGCACGCTCCCCGTTACAAACATCTTTCGGACCAAGACCTTGCACCTCCCACAGACAACGTCATGGCGCGTTTCAAATCCCTACGGGACATAAACAACGTCTAGTGTCATTAGATGTGGCGTTACTTGCATCATATTTGCACAATAATAAACGTCACTGCATTCTTGCCACAGTTGGTCATTGAATAAATAACAAAAACACTTCATAATATAAAGATCAGGTCAAAGACAGCTTAGACTCAATTTGTCGCCACCCGAAAACATTCAAAGTACAGCCGAGTGTTTATAATGATTTACACCCTTTCTCGTTCCCACAGATATCCATATATAATTCATATTCTATACCATCATATCACAATGTATTTTAAGATTTCTTTGGACTTGAGTAATGACCTTGACTAGCTGATGGTCGGCGCCTCCCCGTGTTTTGTCCTGCGCAGTACGTTTCGGACGTAAACAGAAGCGCCCCGGGGATGTTGCCGTTGTATGTTTTAGCTACGGAGGTAGTAAACAACGTTATTGACTAGCGCTCTCCTTCATCATCCCGTACTTATGTGGTAAACACGACTTTGACAAATGCATATCTATAAACAAAACACGACATAGTAGCTATAAATACCGAGCCCGACCAGCCGTCTAACAGTGGATTAGCGTCTATGGTCAGGAGAATTGGACTTTCCGAAATGATTTTATATATGAGCATCTCCTTCTGTGTCGTACTTCTCCGTTCGGACGGAATTTTTGCTGTTGATTGGAAAGGTCCTTTGAAACTCAAAACCTCAGGTATGTCAATCACATGTTTAAGTGACTTACTTTCCCTTTTTGCTGCATTCTACATATGTTTCGAAATACTTTAGACTTCGAGATTTTGCTTTTCACATAAAGTAACACTGAAAAGTCCTTGCTTTTGTTATTTGCCTTTCTGGCACCAAGAAACCGTTTTAATAGTTATTTCCTCGCTTCGTTTTTATCATCAACATCAGGTACCTTAATAACATCTGTATACTACAATGATATAGCCAGTGTTCATCTCATACGTTAGAGTGCCCTATGATCATACAAGATATATAACCCCAGTAGCCTAATTTTTGTTTAGTTTTAACTCTTGATGGCTATCCACTGATCAAATGAATAAATGAAACAAGAATTGGGTCAAAACATTCTAGCGCCATATTACGCTACGGCAAATTATGTCATTATTCCGGCCTCGGCGTCATTTTACGCGCGATTGTTGTTCCGGAAAATTGAGCATTAAAACAGGGTAGGTCTAATGGTGATTCATACCCTAACCCTAACCCTAACCCTAATGGTGATTCATAATTTGCAGAAATGAATTGTATCATATACAAATGTAGGTTTGTAATAAATGCCCGACAAGCGTCGTATTGTTTTTCTATATTTATACACTATTTGAAATATGTGGGCTGCAAAAGAAGATATTCAATTTTTGTTGAACGATATATGGTAGTCGATGTTGTTATGGTTCTGCCTTGATGTTACTACTTTGGTTCTCTCATTGAAGACTTAACAGTACTTGGATTGACCTAGATTAACGTGACGGGAACACCGTCCATGTCTTATACGTTTGCTTTAAACGGGTTATATGTAAATCTTAGTTCTGCCCTAGTTTCACCAAGTTTCGAGTTTGGGTTATGTTTTTAACTAATTGTGTATTCTACAATGCTGATAATACTAATGCTTGGTCTAATATTCTGCAGAGTACGGGACCGAACGGCATTACTGTGAGTATCCTGTGACGTCAGCGGAAGTCACTGTTCAGTTAAAGGTTTTACCGGGCTCGAGCTTCGACACGTTAGACTGTTTCCATTGCGAATGTACGGCTACCGGACTGCACTGCCAAGGGTAAGTGGAATACAACTAGATCTGATATTAAGAGAAAGGGGTCGCATTGTAAAACAGGATATACTGTGCAATATAATTAAACGTTGTCATCTATGTATAGACATATCAGATTTGAAAAGCACTAGATAAGTCATATATCGTAGTGACGTGTACGCTTTCGCATCAAGCTGTATACTAAAGGCGTGAGCTGGATACTATTTACGATATATTTGCATGCTTCTAGTGTTTTCCCGGAAAGGGCCGTGCAGTTTCTGTAATGAATGAACTGTAATTTAGTAAGACTTCTTTGCACGCACATTGTACCTTTATTCATTACTGAGGCATATATATGATCACAAATCATCAGTGTGTATTTAAATCCAAACAACCAGACACTTTACCGTAACATGACGTAAGCACTTTACACAACATCAACCGCTTCTTTAATAGATTATTAACTTGAGATGTCAACACGCTCAGCTTGTCACGCATAGTGACAGGATTTGTAAGAATCTGTCCAATCTTGAATCCAAATTTGGCCTACATTGTATTATATAGGTCTTTAATAGCATGACGTTGACAAACTAGGTCTGTCCAAAATTACCTCCTCGTCATCAAATAGATCGCGCAAACTAGCTAGGCAAGGCTAAATGACCGACTTTTGTAAACTTATTTCTTTTTGGTCAGTTTGCTTTAGATTGAAACGCGATGGGGACATGCCACAAAATACGTAAAATCATTTTCTACGATTAACAACTTAAACGACATATATACTGCTTTTTAAAGGGAATGGACATGAGGTTTTGTTATATTTTGCGACGGGGATAGAACATTGGTTTCCGTGTGTATACCGGCGATGAGAACGTAAAACTTGGTTTGAGCTCTCGACCTGTCGGTCTGAGGTTGAAATAAACTTATTTTTCCTATTGCAAGTAAAGCAACACTAAACTAGGCACTATCCCTTAGGCACTGTAGTAGCAAGCGGTATAGCTAGAAATTAACTGTATTTATTTGTTCCGCAGAGTTGGGGTGAACGGCTGGAGTCTCAGCGGGCCCCCGGAGTGTACGGTGGTGGCTGATGGGTGTAACCCTATGTTTGTACTCCGGACCAATAACAAAATCGACTGCTTCACCCGCCGCCATGTTGGACAGCTTCCTAATGGCGAGAGAGGCTACACCGTACTAGGCCATCGTGGAGCTAGGCCCCCTCGGATGGAGAAGTACCGTGGGGTTAAGCAGGCTAAAAACAACCCCGCGAGCGGGGCAGTTTCCATAGACGGGACTAGCGCGACAACCCCCGTAGCAATGGAAAAGCCCGCCTCCTACCGGGCAGACGCCAGTGTGTTTCGGCCAGCAGTGCTGAGACCAGAAGACACGTTCTCCAACAGTCACAACCAGGATTCTGTCCCGTCCTGGACATTCTTGGCCAGCAGACTGACTCGGAAATGGCCGGTGAATAAGTCATCTGCTTATCGACAAACTCAAATTTCATCCTATCCTTCCAAGTTCAAAACGGGTGATAGAAAGATGTCGAAATCAGAAACCATGGTTACGTCACAAAGGGACAGCATATCAGAACAAGCAGATCCGATTGCCGCAATGATTGCTGGAAAGTCTGCAAATTACGTGGTTGATAAATCTATCGGACTGATGCCTGCAAGACAGTTATTTTTGCCTCGTTCCAGTCCCTTAATCATGGCACGTGACACACTTATTCCTAATTCAGATTTCCGGAAGTCGTGGAAGAAAATGGTGTTATAGCGTGCTCGAAAGTGTTGATACGGGTCCTGTCGACGTGTTGTTTATCTGCAATTGGATGATAAGAATGATCACGTGATTAGGTATGTGAGCAATAAACGTAGACTGAGATTTCGACATTGATAATGGCTTGCACTTTCATTGCAGCCAGGAAATAGTTATCTAGTGCTATTTGAACTAATGAAGGGGATATGACGGACAAAGCCAGCAGCAGACAGCTATACAAAGTCTATAGCTGTAGCTGTACCAAAACAACAGAGCCATTCCAACTGAACGGAGGTATACCAACTTTAGCGTAACGATTTAATATAGCTGTACCAACTCAATTTAGGTATACCAACACTATGTACTTTTACAAAGCAAATATATCTGAACGTATCATGTTGCTATAACAGCTAGATATAAATATACCAAACCAACGTTGTTAAACGAGCCAAATGAATAGAGAAAAAAACAAGGTATTTCGAATCGGGCAGTGATTACCCCCTCCTCCTCCTCCTCCTCCTCCTCGCGTACATCATTATCCTTGTGGGGACATTCTACTGTGCACACTATTTTTCTCTAACGTATTGCGAGGAGATAGTTTCTGTATCATCTGACGTATTGTGAGGAGATAGTTTCTGTATCATCTGACGTATTGTGAGGAGATAGTTTCTGTATCATCTGATGATTCGTCAGTGTAATATCGTGTCATTGTTTTTATTTATTTATTATGTTTTTACGTGGAACAATCATATTGGTGAATGTTAGTATATATTATGGAGATTCTGTGAGAATGCCTCGGAGTTAACAGATTTGGTGAGAATGATTCTTATGTGTAAATATTGCCTTACGTTCAGTGACGGTTATTTCTATCTGTAAATATTTTTTCATATTCAGCGCGATTCCTGCTGTTTTCATAATCAAAACCTTTGTGTAGATAATGTTTGTGAATAATGTTTTAATATTCAGTGACAAAATAATTTATATAAATTATGTTTTAATATCAGTGACTATTCTCACTTCTAAATGTGTATTAATATCAGTGACTATTTTCACGTCTAAATGTGTTTTAATATCAGTGACTATTCTCACGTCTAAATGTGTTTTGATATCAGTGACTATTCTCACGTCAAAATGTGTTTTAATATCAGTGACTATTCTCACGGCTTAATGTGTTTTGATGTACAGTGACCATTCCTACGTGTAAATATTTTGTTTGTGTTTTATGGCGACTCCTCTGTGTAAATAGTTCTATGTATTGTTTGAGGATTAACCTGATTTCAACAGTATATTCAGACGCGATCTCATCCTTCAGTCGCATCAGTGTACATCAATGAAGCCATACATCAATTCCATCAACAGAGATTTATTTTTCTACGATTTTATCAGTGACACGAGTGTAAGAGTGGGTTGTGTTCTAAAACAGAACAAAAATCAATAAAAAACAGAAATGAAAAGATGCGCTTTGTCTTGTTTGTACCGGGATATACCGGATCTTTTCTTTGTAACGGAGATTTTTTTGAACTAACAATTAAAAAAAAAAGACTAAGAAGTATTATACATGTATAGCGCGTCTTAAAATCAATCTGGCAGCACGTTTTAGCATTTAATGCCTTGCAATTTCCAACAGCTTAACTGGGCGACTGTTTCTCCTCTAAACCTGTACGAAATTCACCGAGATCATATAGGCTGATCCAAACACTAAAACCAACGACATAATTATGTACGAAGTTCACCGAGATCATATAAGCTGATCCAAACACTAAAACCTACGACTTTATTATGTACGAAGTTCACCGAGATCATATAGGCCGATCCAAACACTAAAACCAACGACAATATTATGTACGAAGTTCACCAAGATCATATAGGCTGATCCAAACACTAAAGCCAATGCAATATTGTGTACGAAGTTCACCGAGATCATATAGGCTGATGCAAACACTAAAACCTACGACTTAATTATGTACGAAGTTAACCGAGATCATATAGGCTGATCCAAACACTAAAACCAATGCAATATTGTGTACGAAGTTCACCGAGATCATATAGGCTGATCCAAACACTAAAACTATCGCAATATTATGTACGAAGTTCACCGAGATCATATAGGCTGATTCAAACACTAAAACCTACGACTTTATCATGTACGAAGTTCACCGAGATCATATAGGCTGATTCAAACACTAAAACCTACGACTTTATCATGTACGAAGTTCACCGAGATCATATAGGCTGCTCCAAACACTAACACCTACGACATTATTATGTACGATATTCACCGAGATCATATAGGCTGATCCAATCACTAAAACCTACGACTTTATTATGTACGAAGTTAACCGAGATCATATAGGCTGATCCAAACCCTAAAACCAACGCAATATTGTGTACGAAGTTCACCGAGATCATATAGGCTGATCCAAACATTAAAACCTACGACTTTATTATGTACGAAGTCACCAAGATCATATAGGCTGATCAAACCACTAAACCCTACCAAATTATTATGTACGAAGTTCACTGAGATCATATAGGCTGATCCAAACATTAAAACCTACGACATTATTATGTACTAAGTTCACTGAGATCATATAGGCTGATCCAAACACTAAAACCTACGACTTTATAACACTAAAACTTACGACTTTATTATGTACGAAGTTCACCTATATCATATTGGCTGATCCAAACACTAAAATCTACCACTTTATTATGTACGAAGTTCACCGAGATGATATAGGCTGATCCAAACACTAAAATCTACGACTCTATTATATACGAAGTTCACCGAGATCATATAGGAGATTATATAGGCTGATCCAAACACTAAAATCTACGACTTTATTATTTACGAAGTTCACCGAGATTATATAGGCTAATCCAAACACTAAAACCTACGACATTATTATGTACGAAGTTCACCGAGATCATATAGGAGATTATATAGGCTGATCCAAACACTAACACCTACGACATTATTATGTACGAAGTTCACAGAGATCATATAGGCTATAGGCTGATCCAAACACTAAAACCAGCGACAATATTATGTACGAAGTTCACCGAGATGATATAGGCTGATCCAAACACTAAAACTTTCGACTTTATTATGTACGAAGTTCACTGAGATCATATGGGCTGATCCAAACACTAAAACAACGCAATATTATGTACGAAGTTCACCGAGATGATATAGGCTGATCCAAACACTAAAATCTACCACTTTATTATATACGAAGTTCACCGAGGTCATATAGGCTGATCCAAACACTAACACCTACGACATTATTATGTACTAAGTTCACTGAGATCATAGAGGCTGATCCAAACACTAAAACCTACTACTTTATTATTTACGAAGTTCACCGAAATCATATAGGCTGATCCAAACACTAACATCTACCACTTTATTATGTACGAAGTTCACCGAGATCATATAGGAGATTATATAGGCTGATCCAAACACTAAAAAATCTTCCACTTTATTATGTACGAAGTTCACCGAGATAATATAGGCTGATCCAAACACTAAAACCAACATTATGTACGAAGTCACCAAGATCATATAGGCTGATCAAACCACTAAACCCTACCAAATTATTATGTACGAAGTTCACTGAGATTATATAGGCTGATCCAAACACTAAAACATACGACATTATTATGTACGAAGTTCACAGAGATCATATAGGCTATAGGCTGATCCAAACACTAAAACCAACATTATGTACGAAGTCACCAAGATCATATAGGCTGATCAAACCACTAAAACCTACCAAATAATTATGTACGAAGTTCACTGAGATCATATAGGCTGCTCCAAACACTAAAACCTACGACTTTATAACACTAAAACTTACGACTTTATTATGTACGAAGTTCACCTATATCATATTGGCTGATCCAAACACTAAAATCTACGACTCTATTATATACGAAGTTCACCGAGATGATATAGGCTGATCCAAACACTAAAAACTACGACTTTATTATATACGAAGTTCACCGAGATCATATAGGAGATTATATAGGCTGATCCAAACACTAACACCAACGACAATATTATGTACGAAGTTCACCGAGATAATATAGGCTGATCCAAACACTAAAATCTACCACTTTATTATATACGAAGTTCACCGAGATGATATAGGCTGATCCAAACACTAAAATCTACCACTTTATTATGTACGAAGTTCACCGAGATAATATAGGCTGATCCAAACATTAAAACCTACGACATTATTATGTACTAAGTTCACTGAGATCATATAGGCTGCTCCAAACACTAAAACCTACGACTTTATAACACTAAAACTTACGACTTTATTATGTACGAAGTTCACCTATATCATATTGGCTGATCCAAACACTAAAATCTACGACTCTATTATATACGAAGTTCACCGAGATGATATAGGCTGATCCAAACACTAAAATCTACCACTTTATTATATACGAAGTTCACCGAGGTCATATAGGCTGATCCAAACACTAACACCTACGACATTATTATGTACTAAGTTCACTGAGATCATATAGGCTGCTCCAAACACTAAAACCTACGACTTTATTATTTACGAAGTTCACCGAAATCATATAGGCTGACCCAAACACTAAAACTTACGACTTTATTATGTACGAAGTTCACCTATATCATATTGGCTGATCCAAACACTAAAATCTACCACTTTATTATGTACGAAGTTCACCGAGATCATATAGGCGGATCCAAACACTAAAATCTACGACTTTATTATATACGAAGTTCACCGAGATCATATAGGCTGATCCAAACACTAAAACCTACGACATTATTATGTACGAAGTTCACCGAGATTATATAGGCTGATCCAAACACTAAAACAACGCAATATTATGTACGAAGTTCACCGAGATGATATAGGCTGATCCAAACACTAAAACATACGACATTATTATGTACGAAGTTCACAGAGATCATATAGGCTGATCCAAACACTAAAATATACCACTTTATTATGTACGAAGTTCACCGAGATCATATAGGCTGATCCAAACAATAAAACCTACGACATTATAATGTACGCAGTTCAACGAGATCATATAGGCTGATCCAAACACTAAAACCAACGATATTATTATGTACCAAGTTCACCGAAATCATATAGGCTGATCCAAACACTAAAACCAGCGACATTATTATGTACGAAGTTCACCGAGATCATATAGGCTGATCCAAACACTAAAATATACCACTTTATTATGTACGAAGTTCACCGAGATTACATAGGCTGATCCAAACACTAAAACCTACGACATTATTATGTACGAAGTTCACCGAGATCATATAGGATGATCCAAACACTAAAACCTACCACTTCATTATGTACGAAGTTCACCGAGATCATATAATAGGCTGATCCAAACACTAAAACCTACCACTTTGTTATGTACGAAGTTCACCGAGATCATATAGGCTGATCCAAACAATAAAACCTACGACATTATAATGTACGAAGTTCACCGAGATCATATTGGCTGATCCAAACACTAAAACCTACGACATAATTATGTACGAAGTTCACCGAGATTACATAGGCTGATCCAAACACTAAAAACTACGACATTATTATGTACGAAGTTCCCCGAGATCATATTGGCTGATCCAAACACTAAAACCTACGACATTATTATGCACGAAGTTCACCGAGATCATATAGGCTGATCCAAACAATAAAACCTACGACATTATAATGTCCGCAGTTCACCGAGATCATATAGGCTGATCCAAACACTAAAGCCTACGACATTATTATGTACGAAGTTCACCGAGATTACATAGGCTGATCCAAACACTAAAACATACGACATTATTATGTACCAAGTTCACAGAGATCATATAGGCTGATCCAAACACTAAAGCCTACGACATTATTATGTACGAAGTTCACCGAGATCATAGAGGCTGATCCAAACACTAAAACCTACCACTTCATTATGTACGAAGTTCACGGAGATCATATAGGCTGATCCAAACAATAAAACCTACGACATTATAATGTACGCAGTTCAACGAGATCATATAGGCTGATCCAAACACTAAATCCTACGAAATAATTATGCACGAAGTTCACAGAGATCATATAGGCTGATCCAAACACTAAAGCCTACGACATTATTATGCACGAAGTTCACAGAGATCATATAGGCTGATCCAAACACTAAAACCAACGACATTATTATGTACGAAGTTCACCGAGATTACATAGGCTGATCCAAACACTAAAACATACGACATTATTATGTACCAAGTTCACAGAAATCATATAGGCTGAGTCAAACACTAAAACCTACCACTTTATTATGTACGAAGTTCACCGATATCATATAAGCTGATCCAAACACTAAAACCTACGAAATAATTATGCACGAAGTTCACAGAGATCATATAGGCTGATCC